TAAATGTGGAGGGAGAACCCGGAAAAATCCACGCAAACACGGGGGAGAACACGCAAACTCCAAATATGCAGGCGTCAGGGTCGGGATCGAACCGACGACCTCCTGTATACCAGGCGAGGTATTTTAACAACGTAACTGGGGAGACAAAGCGTGGATACTGGCCACACCCCACCCTTCGTGTGCCGTTACGTCCTTCATAGGTGCTATTCGTGAACAGCACTGCCCCAAAAATACTGTTAAGGCTACAGGGGATCTTTGCTCCTGCTCCAGGCAAGTGCCCGAGAGATACAAAGCTGCGTGATGACCGCCACTCAGAAGCCACTGGAAGGGCCATGCCTAATGAGCATCACATTTGTCTAAGTGCAAATAACACCACTTTGGGGACTTTACATAAGAACGCAAAGCCTTCCAATCTTTAGCAGATGTAAGTGGTTATTATGTTTAAAAATGCAATGTCTGCTGTGTTAATGTATTACAGTGTATTTACCAAGTCAAAAGTTATTTTGACTGTTTCTATTGCACACGCAACCGATTTCAAAATGCAGTTGTTAAATATGTTAACAAAACATGGCATTGGCCTGTGAAGTATTAGGACGTTTTTTTTACAGTGACAAAAGTAAAACGTCATTAATGCATCCAAACGGGAGCACTCCAATGTCTAAATTAAGACACCACTTAAGAACATAGAGTATAGGTGGCTGTCACTTCGTCTCTAGAGTGCCAATGTGCTTAAACCTGAAACTACTGTGCGCTCACATTTGTGCAACAGATTTGAAACTAATTCCAGCGTATACTAGAACGCCCGAGTTTGTGACAATGAAGTCCCGTACAATCATGTGATTTCATGGCCACACAATAGCACCAGAGAGGCACACGGACTCAATGCCCTATTAACGTCACCACCGAGGTGAAAACTCCATTCGTCCGTGCGAGTTGCCGTCTGAAATGGTTGCAGGAGGGCGCATTCCATGGCCAACCTGTTTGGTCAGTCACGCTGCCCAACGATTGCATGGGAAACGATCACAGCCTATTGACATCATCATGACAAGTACAATACGAGAGGCAATAGAGACTCTCCCCTGGCCGTTTGAGATTCCTCTGGGTGCCATTGATTTGTCCGTCGTTACATTTTGATGAAAAGCAAATTAACAATTGTTCAAAGCACAACTCGTAACACCCGTCGCTCGCAATGCAAATAAGCGGTTACACTATAACAGGCGAACAGTAGAGGCGACTGCTCTTATTCGTGAGAAAATAGGGGCAGATATGTGGACTTAAAGTTCGAGATCACGCTCGGTTATAACGAAGCACCTTCGTTTTCTGAGGTTTTAATTTTTGTCTGGGGGGGAGTGGGAGAGTAGTTGATATGAAGAATGTTGAAGTTACAGACATGGACACTTTTCTATGATCAGATGCCGAGTAGTAACTATAAGTTCAAGAACGGCCACTGCCTCAAACGTTATTTGAAAAAACAATATCTCTTGAGATGCAGTGTTAATGACGAACGCGCTGTTATGTGTGCGCTCACCACTGCCATTACAGCATCTTGTTGTTTTTGTTTAACCTGTTGCTGCCCACATTACACTTGTCATGTGGGCGATTAGAAACTCGCTTTGATGGTCAGCCAAACCCTGCACAAACGCCTTTAAAAACAAATTCCCTGGCGCTTCACAGAGCTGGCCATAAAGGGCCATTTACAATGTTTGTTTTATTCCCTGCTGCTGGGGAGATGGGTATATGCAAATATACCGACAGAGGTATTTTATAGATCCCAATAAAACAGAAAGAAGGCCAATAATCGTGGGTGCTATGAGCTACTGCAGTTTAACGCCTATAATTGTTACATCCTATATTTCTAAGTTGTGTTTTTGTGCTTGCGCCAATAATGTGGATGAGTGTAATTTAACCGGGTTGTCGCGTAACCTACGTACTGAACGTCTCCATAAAAGTTGTTTTCATAGTTTGGAATGTAGTGCTAGTTAGGTCATTCTAATGTTGGAAAACGTAGGCTGTTTTTTTTCGTGTGATAATTCAAAGAAACAGCACGAGTGGCACATTTGAGTCATGTTTTCATTTTCCTCTGCGAATGTTGAGCAATGCCCTTTGATGGTGAGTAACAAACAGAGCAGTGAACCATGCCATTAAAATAACTCGGGAAGTTTCTGGTCCAAGTACACACACGCGCGCTGTGTGTGTTCATTTGGGAAAAAGTATTAAGCACACCCTGAGGATTTAGAGCTCACCTTTAACATGGCAAAGAAATTCCACAATAAATATAAAATAATAATGCAGGAGCAAGACAAGCGACCATCACACAAGACAACTTTTACAATAAAACATCTTCTTAGTTCTTTCGGTAAAGTCACGTAGAAGGGAAGTAATAAAATAATAAAAATAAAACATAATAAATAATTCTCACGACGTTTCGGCCACAACGCAAGCAGCCGTCCTCAGGTGAAGACCAGCGTCTGCATTCAGACGCTGTCTCCCCGACAGACCTGGTCTTCACCTGAGGACGGCTGCTTGCGTTGTGGCCGAAACGTCGTGAAAATTATTTTATTATGTTTTATTTTTATTATTTTATTACTTCCCTTCTACGTGACTTTACCGAAAGAACCAAGAAGATGAATCCCTGCAGTCACGAAAGCTTTAAATCGAAATAGAACATCTATTTACCATACAGTCCTTACCAAAATGTTATTACGATGTTAATTAACGTTTATTTTGTAATATTAAGCTGCGGCGGTAAACACACACACACACCAACTAGAGACGCAATGTTGCTTCTGCAATCAAGCGCCGTAATCACACGGCCCATGGAGAATGTACACTGCCCAGACCTTCGGGGCAAAGTGCTGCTCGTTAGCACGCTCGGGAAAGGCCTCCTTTGATAACCACGATTAAATTAAGACTAAAGAAGTGTGCTGGGGGGGGGGGGGTTGTTTTGTTCAAGGGATAGCTGGATTTTAAAAAAGAACAAGTCCAGCATAATTCAAACTAGAAAATAAGCCCTCTGTCAACCCACTGCTGGATGAACCCCATCCCCACACCGCGTCGTTCCTGCAGTTTGTTTGCTGTTGTTCTAATAGTTTATCACGCCGGTCAATGCTGGCTGATGAAGGCGGGGAGTATTGGTGCGGTCCGTGGACCGGTTCATATAACACTCGTCACTGATGTCAACCGTGGCTGGGATTCGAACTCGGATCGCAGTGCGCGAACCACTGCGCCACCGCTCCCCACGGGAATGACACCGAATGTAAAGCCGCTCTATGCCCTGAGTGTCTCTATAACTAATCGATACAATTGCCAAACTCCCCTTCAGCTAGGCAGTGCCCCCCCCCCCCCCAGCCAGGCGGAGAGCACCGCTACGAATGTGTCTCGTCGTTGCTCAACGTGCCCCACGTTCTCATAGCTCCGCGTTTCATCCGATGGGTTCACCATCAACACCATCAACACCACCCAGTGTTGGGAGGTCTTCCCCTCCAGCAGTGGATTTGACAACGCGCTGTATATTATGAGTATTATCGTCATCATTACGACGAATACAATACACAGACTTCACGACGGTAGCGGTATCACCAATTGTACAGGCACCGATTACAGTTTAAAGGTCCGCTAACGTAATCCGAAAAATTATATAGACGTGTCAATTAATTCACTGTTGGATTCTGAGGGTTATTTGAACGTACGCACTGCGGATTTTGGGGGTGATATGACCATACTTCACCGCGCTGGTCGGTGCGGGTTGGTGAAGGCGGGGAGCGTAGAAGTAAAGTATAACAATAGATGTTGCTGAACTCCACCCTGTGCTGCCCGCGCACAGTCTACCCCGCAATACGCCTGCAGCTCATTGCATAACTGCACAAATATGGGCTTATTGAATTACAGCTTAGCTGTATATTGCCTTATGATAGATATACATGCAATGTATTAAATCTTTTACGTGCGACGATTATTTTATTTAAAGCAAACGCCATTTCACTCGTCGAATTAAATATCAGGTGAAATACCATCCATTGTGCAGTTTCTAACAATTTATAAACGCGCTGCGTCAACACGTGTATTGCTCCTGCACAGCGCACGTTGTACATAGTGGCTGGAGCATTGTGCCACTGCGCCATATCAACAGAGCAGCAGGGACACGTCAAAACAGGGTACGCGTACAGAGGGATTTGGGTAGCAAGGCGAGTGCATAATAACCAATCAGACCGGTTTCGGTAGAGCACCCGGGTAAACTAACCACATCGACTGCTGGAGGGTAGCCGGGTAGACAGGAGGGAGATGGATTAAGTCGGCAAGTAAATGCTCACCTTTCACAGCTTAGCAAGGATGCAAGAATATGTGCTTAAGCTCAACCTCACGGTAGGCAGGTACATGGCAGCCATATATGTAGATGTCAGATAAGCTAGAAGCGAGATAGTCCGGTAGGAAAGAGCGGGTAACCAGGGTACACAGGTAAGCAGTGTGGCTAAGCAGGTAAACAGGTAAGCAAGAGTGGCTAAGCAGTTAAACAGGTAGCCAATGTGGCTAAGCAGGTACACAGGTAGGCAGTGTGGCTAAGCAGGTAAACAGGTGGGCAGTGGCTAAGCAGGTATCCAAATAAGCAAGAGTGGCTAAGCAGTTAAACAGGTAGCCAATGTGGCTAAGCAGGTACACAGGTAGGCAGTGTGGCTAAGCAGGTATCCAGGTAGGCAGTGGCTAAGCTGGTATCCAGGTAAGCAAAGAGTGGCTAAGCAGTTAAACAGGTAGCCAATGTGGATAAACAGATACACAGGTAGGCAGTGTGGCTAAGCAGGTAAACAGGTAGGCAGTGGCTAGGCAGGTAAACAGGTAGGCAGTGGCTCAGCAGGTAAACAGGTAGCCAATGTGGCTAAGCAGGTACACAGGTAGGCAGTGTGGCTAAGCAGCGAGCCTGGCAGGTAGTGTAGCTAAGCAGGTACACAGGTAGCCAGGTAAGCAGCGTGGCTAAGCTGGTAGCCAGGTGTGTCTCGCTCCCTCACCGCTCACGAGTCTACGCGTGCCCTCGTCCAGCAGCTGAGTGGAGAGCGCGTCTCCCATGTCTGCAGGACTTCGGGCTCGTTGTTGATGGGAGGAAGCCCTTGGCCACAGTCGCGTTCGTGTGCCCGACGAGCCGACCTGGGTCCGTGGCGATGATCTCCGCGGTTCGTCTCTTCTCCCCTCCCCTCTCTACCACACAGCCTCTCTCTCTCAAGTTTCTCACCTGGCCTCGCCTTACCTGCCCGCCTCAGCCAATCAGCGCTTCGCGAGGGCAGATCCTCATCAAACGCGCGTGCAACGCAGAGGCTTTGAGAATGGTGGATCTCGACCAAAGAAAAACCACACGTCGACTTAAAAATACGTTTACTGGACAAGCGATAAAGAAAACTGTGGCGACAGCCTCGGCTGTTTAGCATTTAGGTGTGGACATTGTTTTAAATCATGTACCCTAAATGCGACCTCTAAGCTGGGTTGAGCCCGGACTAGTATTTTAGATAGGTGGGCAAATAGGAGACTTGGCAGGTATTGTAGGCGTTGGATGTGAGCTTGGCCATGAGCTGGCAGGGCTGAGTGTTACACCCCGTGGTGTTTGGGTTTTTATTTCCACAGCTTACTCCGGTTTCCTCCCACATAAAGCCTCGTCATCAAACCGATTGTTCAAACACCACGCAATACATGACTCCTCAGAGAGTATTGTGTTTCATTGAGATTTCCCCTGGTAAAATAATGCCCACGCTTACGTTTATTTAAAGTCATTTAGACGTTGAATGTCTCACGTAAAAGATACTCTTGCTGTCAACGGGCCATCAGCTCGTTTTAAAGGTCGCTATATATGCATTTAGAATTTGTTAATCGCCGTACGTCGCCAGACGTGCTCGTCAGAGGTCGATATTTTTAACTATTTTTAAATCCTTTATATTAAGTTCGCTTGCGTGCTTGCTTGCTTGCTTACGACCGTGCAAATCTTTCGGTCGTTTTTTAACCCACTTCCCGTGATCCAATCGAGCTGACATTTTCCACACAGACTCGTTGTGCCAGACAATTAATGTTCGTGAAAAAAAATTCCCAAAATTTTACACTTTTTAGGCAAAACAAAAATTATTTTACATATATTCAAATATAACTCATTCTTGGCTTTGGCTGAACGTCAGAGTGTAAGAGCCCAGAGCGTAACCCCTCCACAGGCCGTGGCGGAGTAGCGCAGTTGGTAGTGCCCTTGCTTCCCATGCCAAAGGTCGCGGGATCGATCCCCGCGTCCTCCACAGGCGAATATATGTTTAAATCCTTTATATTAAGTTCGCTGCCACGCATATAAAGGATTTATAGTGAAAAACTTTGTTTTTACGGGTTATACTTATTAAATCCTTAATATTAAGTTCGCTTGCTTGCTTAGGACCGTGCAAATCTTTCGGTCGTTTTTTAACCCACTTCCCGTGATCCAATCGAGCTGACATTTTGCACACAGACTCGTTGTGCGAGACAATTAATGTTCGTGAAGAAAAATTTGCAAAATTTTACACTGTTTAGGGAAAACAAATTAAATATTTAATTACCAATTGTTTAATACTGCAGACAATCATCTGACCCATAGGTGGCAGCCATCTCAAGCCAGAGGACGAGAGGACTCTAGCCGCCACGCATATAAAGGATTTATAGTGAAAAACTTTGTTTTTACGGGTTATACTTATTAAATCCTTTATATTAAGTTCACTTGCTTGCTTACGACCGTGCAAATATTTCGGTCGTTTTTTAACCCACTTCCCGTGATCCAATCGAGCTGACATTTTGCACACAGACTCGTTGTGCGTGACAATTTATTTTCGTGAAAAAAAATCCAAAATGTTACACTTTTAGGAAAAAATAAATTATATTTAATTACCAATTGCTTAATGGTGGCAGGCAATCATCTGACCCATAGGTGGCAGCCATCTCAAGCCAGAGGAGATGACTCTAGCCGCCACGCATATAAAGGATTTATAGGGAAAAACTTTGTTTTTACGGGTTAATTGTTTTACCAAAGCCCACTGAACTACGTAGCTCATTTTCAAAACGACCTGGCCACAAATGATAGCTCAAATAAAGTGGCTTATCACGTGGAATTGTAGAGCAACTAAATGCTCTAAAACGCATGTTTCTATAAATGTGGAGGGAAAACCGGAGGACCCGGGAAAAGCCACACAACCACGGGGAGAACATGCAAACTCCAAATATACAGCAGGCGCCAGGGTCGGGGTCGAACCCATAACCTCATGTAAACCAGGCGAGGTAGTTAACATCTCGCCACCGTGTCACCCTGAATAAACACGTGCAGCCCCTTTGTCAATCAACCGCTGGATGAAGGCTTCTCCGTGCCATTCAGTCCGTGGGAGTTATTTACCTATGTCTCATACTCGTCGGTGCGGGTTCGTGAAGGTGTGAAGCATAGAACCGGACTCTTACTGGTAGGAACCTCCTGGTTACACCAGCCCACAGGGGATTATTGTGTCCGTCCGTCGTGCAGGGAGGGGCTGAGTGGGGAGGGTGGGGCTGCGTGTGGAGGGGCTGGGTGGGGCTGGGTGGGGAGGGGTTGGTCACCCCGTGGTGCCCTTATACAACTCAACGTTTAACCTACTCACGCCGGCTTGTGCCCGCCCTCAGTCGGGCATATTTGCGGAATACACCACGCCGCCGTTGACCCTGGCCATTGACCGAGCAACCCAACGTTCCTACCAGCTCCCTCCGCAGGAACGTGTTTATACTGGAGGAATCCGATTAGCTATAATGCCCATTTACACAGATGCCCAGTAGGGGCGGGTTAAGAAAATAATGTTTTTCTTTACCTAGCCACAAATTCTAGCTCAACGAAGTGGCTTATCATGTCGAAACGTATAGCAGCCAAATAATCCAACAGCATGTTTCATAGACGTGGAAGCAGAGAATCGCTGTACAGTTTAAACAACGATTTTGATGCACTCTACTCTGCTGTCCACACAACGTAGCAGAGCAAGGCAGATGCACATGACAACGCGGCATGCAAAGAGCGATGGTCCCATACAAGCACGAGGCGCCAGACTGATTAGCTTCCAAGATCCGACAACATGGAGAGCGATGCAAGTGATTTCACCTCTATAAAATGCATTTAAATCCTCAGCCAATTCAACACAAATGCCTATCGAGAAAGTGGCGTGCCAATATCGGCAAAATTGTATAATCATACCGTGAGAGACCAGTTACAATGTTATAAACCTGGTGAGCCGGGTTCGATTCCTGGCCGTGACGAGCGCTGTCAAGAGCGGGTCAGGGGTCACAACCCACTCCAACCAGCGTGAAGTATGATCGAATAAGCCTCATAACTTCCAAGACAATGGGGGGGGGGGGGGGGGGGCTTCATCAAGCGGTATATTGACAAAGGGTGATACATTAAAATAGAAATGTATTTACATGTAGAGGCAACCCATTTTTAATGGACATACACATAAATTCCAGTGCTTATTCCAGGGTATAATGTTCCAATGTTTTCAAAACTGACCCCAACAGTTGTTTTGACTGCAATTCAATAGAAAAAAACTGCACTGCCAAAATACTAAAACATTATTTTTTCTTCTTGGTTCTTTCGGTAAAGTCGCGTAGAATGGAAATAATAAAAATAAAACATAATAAAATAATTCTCACATTTCGGCCACAACGCAAGTAGCCGTCCTCAGGTGGAGAACAGGTCTGTCGAGGAAACAGTCTGAATCATTCATAAAATAATTCTCACGTCGTGAGAAAACAATAAAATAATTCTCACGTCGTGAGAAATATTTATTTGTTTTATTTTTATTATTTCCATTCTACGTGACTTTACCGAAAGAACCAAGAAGATGAATCCCTGCAGTCACGAAAGCTTTAAATCGATACTAAAACATTATTTGGTGATAAGTGTTGTATTTCATCAAAATACAAAGCAGTTTCTTTAATGTCCTGCAGCGGTTTTGTGGGGCGTGTTGTTTACCAAGGTCAAGAAATGTTTGTCTTGCCGATTTATCCGGAGGCTGGGACGGTCTTGAACATTCTTTAGAGTTCAGACATTCTTTTATGGATTCCTCACTTTTAAAAAGGCACAAACTTTAAACTAAAATCTGTTAAAGTGCCTGTCGGGAGGATGTATTGCCATGAGGTTCGTGACATTCAAAACTGTATTTCTTAATATTTTCAGTGTAATCATAATACGGTTTTGTTTACATTTTCATGATAAAAAAATTCAAACACCACATAAATGTTGATTTTTTATTTCGTTTAAATATGCTGCATTTATATTAACTTAAACTCAACGTAATTGTTCCCCAATCACCACAGCTGCCCAAATTACACACCAAAACAAGCACCACACTGCACCATTACTCAAGGCACTCCAGTGGTTGGCTGTCCAGACGAGTTTCAACAAAATACAGATAATTCAGGCTTCAGTGATTGTTTTTTTTATCCAGAAATAAACCATGCAAAGCCAGCTAGCGAACCACACACATTACGTAAACATCAGCAAGGGAAAGTTTTATTCGTAACTGTCGGAATTTAATTCGGCTCGACATAAAATAAACAAATTGAGCCAGCCATGTCAAGGCCATATCATGCATGGGAACTTTATAACCAAATTCCCAAAGCTTTGTTTTCTATCTTCATAAATTAGCCCACCAGTACTTTATAGACATGATGGTGGTGTGGCTTGTCACACAACCCTTTGGTTGATATTAATACATTGTGAAATAATGCTCTTGTTTCAGCAACACAAATTCCAATAGCTGAAGCGCAGAGGGTGGTCAGACCTCGACTGCGTGCTTGAATGCTCAGTGGGGCTGAAATGAAATGGGCACGTTTGTCAAAATGTTTCACTAGCCGACTGACAATGTACAAACACAAGTATACGAATCACGTGCGTGAAAAGTGTTTTGGAATTTCTGTTGTGCAATTGTTCGTGACAGCGTCTTTGCTGCATCATCTCAGGTTTAGTTTTTTGTTGATTTCAGCTTTTTCTTTTTTCCCTAAAACTTGTCGATGCATTCTGGATGACTGGACAAAACGCGAATCTGATGTGAAGCAAGCTCCTCCGTGATTTTTACTGCTGTGCTCCTGGTGTAGGCGACTCAACCCCCGTGCAGTGTGGAGATGAACACGACCGTATCCTGGTCCACCAGCTTATAGTCCAACTCCCCCTGTAACATATGCGCGCACACACACACACACCTCGCCTCGGTACAACCATGACAAAGGCTGAGAATGCAGTGAAACGTGAAGATATAAACATGCACTTCTGAGGTGGCTAAGTGGCTCAACAGGCAGAGTGCTGAGCTGGCACCACTGAGGACCTGGGTTTAATTCCAGGCAGCCACCTGTAATTAAACTGGGTCCCCTCAAGCGTAGCGAGTTGATTATCTCAGCCTGGTCACCAATGAATGCACAAATACAAATTTGGTGCTGCACTTATTTTCACTAAATTCCAGCTCTGAGAATTAAAATATCGTAGTCTGTCATACGACAAGCAATACTCTCTCATATGCAGAACAAGGGGGACAATTCTGGCCTCAACTGTATGGACCAGGAATTCTCTGTGACATCAGCATCTGTGGACCATTCCCTAACACAAAGGTTTGTACAACTCTGCAAGAAGTATGAACGGATCCTTAATCTCATAACATGGCATGTATAGCACAATCGGGATGGAATTGGGGGGAAATTACAAGATAAATGTATCACTATGGGTAAAAAATACACACATTTTATGCCTTTTTTGTGAAGGGAAAAATCCACAGGTTCTCATGGGTTAAAAGGACAATTATTTATGTTTACATGACAGAAACACAGGCTGGCAGCCAAATTAAGTGAATACTCCAATAGTGCCATTTGGGCAGTTTTCATAACAACCCAATCTATGAAGACTAAATGAAAAATTCAAATGTATGGAATTATCTTCATTCAAGTCAATGATATTGACCGAGTATTATAGTGTTCAATATTCTATTGTGCCCTGAAATTGCATTCACATAAGCATCACGAAAATTGCCCGCCGACTGCACCAGATATTGGCATTCGATAAAGCATTCCAAGCACTGATGCGTTCTGAAGATGACGTCTTAAAAATATGTAATGGGACGAGACTGTAGTGATAAAACTGACAAGACATAATTCAACATTTCTTGACAAACAATGCATTAACTCTTGTCACTAAAGTAAAAGTTCCATGTAAAAAACACACCAGCCTAGGCGCCTGCAAACACTTCTAAGCGAGTGTGCATTTTCTTTGCCGTTTCAGAACCATTGCAGTTTTAAGCTGTGTGTGGATGGTATTATTGCAAACCGTACAGCGCATTTATGTGCCAGACACTTTGGGAATTTCTTTTTGTGAATGGCCCCATTTGAACATAAGTGATGACGTTTATACTCGCGGTTATCACTTGCCTTGCCCCTTTTTTCATGGTTACATAAGAGCACTCACCAGCAGTTCCCAGTCGGCATCATTAATCAGCACGAGAATCCCTGGCCGCCTGTGCAATACAGACCAGCGAGCAGTCAGCAGCAAGCACCACCATAAATCCACACAGCAATGTCAGCACAAGCACTAACTTAGAGCACAATGCACTAACAAATGCATGGGCACAGCCTTCTGGTCCTAGTGGTCAGCTTGCTCACATGTGTCTCTGCTGGCATTATTAATTCAAATTCAACCTCAGCATCTCCGACAGGGCCATTATTAAAGGAAGATGCAACCCCAACAAAACAAAGAGTGCTTATTTTGCAGATACACACACCTATACTGTGTCCCAGGCTCTCTGACATAAGGTGAAACTTTATTTTGTTCAAAAGATGTTCTTTTTTGCATGTACATGTAATACCCATGTAATGCAATGATGTGGGAGACAGTACCCTTCTCGGTGCCCATCTATAACGAGTTTTCGTGTCACCTTAAACGCACCTAATACCACCATCTTGGCGAAATGGACGTCATTAATTCGAATCCAGATATGATCAGTAGAACTAATACAAAAAAAAATCACTGTGGGCTGTCCATTACACCAAATTTATGTAATGTATTGAGTACCAGAACCCACAACCCAAACCCCACACCCCACTCACACGTTATCGCCTTGGATGAAGAGCTCTGGCCGCTCCTTAAGGAGGTTTGTCCGGATCCACACCAACAGCTGTCGCACATCCCCTGCAAACACACCGGCAGAGAATTGTCCCCTTATTTGTCCTACGAACTTTAAAAATTATTACGGTAAAATTGTCTAATTGGCATTGACGTTGGGGATGCTATTCGTGGATCCTCTAATCGTGATAAAAACTCATCTCCTCCATGAAGAAAATTTTCAGAGTAGTTCTTCGCTGCACAATTCCCAACATTTGCAAACTTGCATCAAATTGCATGAGTTGTTGTGGACCACGGCGGTCCCGTGAATTTTAGTATCCGTGGGAAAGAGGGACGTAGATTATAGATTTTTACTGTATTTAACATGTATAGTGTGTCGTGTCGTAAAGTATTCCATGGACATGGCGTTAGTGGTCTCTTACCTGACTATTTACTGGGGTTGAGACGAAGTCATAAACCTGGCCACCAGAGTTGAATTCCCAGCCACGACTAACATCAGTGACATGTACCATCTGAGCCGGTCCTGGCCAGTGGATAGCCAAAGGGCTCTAAAGAATTACTATTATATATTACAAAGAATTGCAATTTCAGACACAGGTTTGATTATTTATTCATGCCAGGTGTAAGACCTGTACATATTTTATATATATATTTTCTATGAACAGTAGTTTTGGACAAGCAACATTGGCTTTTCAAACTCCCAACAAGTCAGTCATATTTAACAAGTGATGCAGACATATGCTTCATTCTTGTGATAACATACTCTCATGACAATATTGCATATATCGGTTTCAATCAGTTTACTAAGTGATTTCACAATATATTACAACTTCAAAAAAGAATTTGTTTACACTACCACACGCAAAATGTCTTGACACATGAATGTTTTAGCACACAGACATGTGCAGTTAACTGGCACATATTTGCATGTGCAAGCATGTAAAATTCTTTGTGTTGTTAGGCACACATTTGTTTTACACTGTCCGACATGTAAAATGATAGGAGTGCCTTTGTAAAAGACCCACGTTGACTCACAAGGCTTTTCTTGTTGACTTAGCTCCACCTTGTGGGACTTTACGCCACCAAACAGCAGCTCGGCACCACCGCTGTAAACAGACATTCAGCAAGGCCTGCTACTGTCACTTCACTCTTGCCATCACTGCAGCAATGCTACCATACATCACGGTTTCCATAATTACAATACTCTCACCATAATTATAAAACTGAGCCATCATCACAGCACCTTAACCATCATTCCAATAATCTTTACCGTCATTACAACGCGATTAACATTAATATATCATTCTTACCATCAATAGATAATTATTACCATACCACGCTTACCGTTAACCTAATACATAAGTTTCCATCAGCAATATAATCAATGATCCATATTTGTTTTTGGGTTAGGCCACTGAGCAGATGTATGCCCAACTCCTTGTAATTAACCATCCACCAACCCTACAAGATTGCCACGTATGGCGACAAGATTATAGTATTGACTTTTAACTGCTGTTTAAATCCCTTCTGTTGTTTTAGCCATCACAGTCACTATGCCTTGATTTGAAGCTTTCGTGACTGTAGGAATCTTTCGGTAAAGTCACGTTGGTATAACAATAAAATAAATCACGACGTTTCGGGCGCAACACAAGCGTCCCACCTGATGACGGACGCTTGTTGGGCCAGAAACGTCGTATTTTATTTTATTTTTATACCTACGTGACTTTACCGAAAGAACCAAAGAGTATGGAGTCACTATCCCTATTCTTAGGTTTTTTCGGTAAAGTCACGTAGGTAAAAAATGTAAATTAATAAAAGTAAAATAAAAATAAAATCACTACGTCACTATCCCTCTTTAATTCGGCCGGTCTCATCACATCTCCAAGCTAAGCAGGCTTGATATTGACAACTTTCCCATGCACACCAGGTTGGTATAGGCTGCGGGGATACGTGGTGGGCAGCAGAGGGCAGTGGCGCAACATGCATTGTTGCACAGTACTGTACTGTCGTTCTATGCTCCCACGTCTACGCCGCTCGCCCTCACCAATCCGCATCGACCAGCGTGGTTAAGTATGGGGCCGTCCATAAATGACGTCACGCACCGAGGGGGGGGGAGGTCAGACATTTGTGACGATGTGTGACGAGGGGGAGGGGTTGAGAAATGTGACGTCACGTAAAAATTCGCAACTTTAAATAAATATTAACCAAATAGAATTGTTATAACACTAATTTTGATTATTTTTCACTATTAACTATTTGATTATTTAAATTGACTAAGGTCACTTTTTATTTATTCAACGAAGTAGCATTTTGCTTCTCCATGGGAGAATGTAGAAGCATACTTTTTTTTAAATTTGAATGATTGTTAATAAACATTTTGATTCTAATGATTCTACCAGGGCTTTTCATTCTGTGGAATGAATATGTGATTGTTATAATTGTACTCTCCATTTTGCTTCGTTCTACTACAAAGTTAAGTATTTTTATAGTTATAATTACTTTTAATATTCTATAATTGTAAGAGAATTTCAATATAATATTCTGAACATCTGCAGTTTTAGTTAGACGTTGAATATTTCCAAGTGAATTTTATGCTAAATTTAAGCTTTCCAACGCCTCCTTTTTAATGTTTTCTCCTACAACATCAGAGTGCAGCGCCACATTAAATACGCACTACAATAACAATACAGTAGTTTAAAGTGATTTGAAGCATGTTTTATTTTCAAAATAGAAATATGGTTTGGGGGGGGGGGCGGGTAGAACTTTGTGACGTCATATTTGAGTCAAAAAACGCGTGACGTCATTTATGGACGGCCCCTATGGTCAACACGACGCGCGCAGACCAACCTATACCCAGCAGCGGATTGGCGTGGTGTAGACTGCGCTAAGCTCCAGGCTCTGAACATATCACAGCTCATATGACTGTGCTTTTATATTTGAGTTGATGACTAATCTCGGCTCTCATTTGATTTCATTGAAACCGTGGCGAGGCCTGGTTTGAATTTAAAGTAAACAAAGCCTAGGGAGGGGGCGTTCAGCCTAATCACTACATGTAAAATTATTCTCACATTAGCAAAGTCGAAACGTTTTATTCTGCGGCATACATCACGAAACATTTCAGGCGATACAAACCAACCACCACCTCCCCGCCGCGAACTCACCCGAACTCCACGTTGAGCGAGATGGGCGCGGCCATTGCTGCTGCAAGGACCCCGCCTGGGGATCGGGGGCGGGGCGGAGGGGGTGCCCAGCGCGATGCCTGCCAGACGAACGCAAACGTCAATCATCTCGGCAAAGACAAATATTTTATTTTTCGATTTAAAGCTTTCGTGACTGCAGGGATTCGTCTTCTTTGTTCTTTCGGTAAAGTCACGTAGAAGGGAAATAAAATAATAAAAATAAAATATAAATACAAATAAAATACATTTGTATTGTATTATGTGTTTGTGTATTTGTTTGTGTGTCTCCCTTGTGATGGAACTTTGTATGATGAACGTTGAGATTTATAAGGAACACGTGGTGACCAAATAAGTGTCTGAATCGGTCTAATAAGGTAGGGCACTGATAAGGGGTTGAAAGGTATGTAATACACTACACGACACTACTACACCATACCTGTCAACCAATACTTTTACCCGTATTCTTGTTCAGGGAAATTTAGTTTTCAGGACCATACAGCGTGCAGCCTTTTCAATACGGGAAAAAAATGTTTTTGTCTATTTGTTTGTGTTTCTCCCCTGTGATGGGACTTTGAAGGATGAACGTTGAGATTTAGAAGGCCACGGGGTGAACAATGAGGTCTGAATTGGTCTGTAAGAAGGGAGGGCACTGATAAGGGGTTGACATGTATGTCGATATAACAAGAAACCAGCAGTCGTTCCCAATAATCTTTGGGAAGACATCTCTACCCATTGTAAAGCAGCATATTCATTATGACCTATCAAATAACTCCAGTAATCTGTTATCTTCTGTAAGACAATTATCCAATTAAATCTTGATTTAAAGCTTTCGTGACTGCAGGGATTCATATTCTTGGTTCTTTCGGTAAAGTCACGTAGAAGGGAAATAATAATAAAAATATTAATATAATATACAATAAAATTATTATTTTATATAAAATATTGATATAATATAAAATATTATTATTTTATATAATATTATTATTTTATATAATATTAAAATTATTATTTTATTATTTCCCTTCTACGTCACTTTACCGAAAGAACCAAGAATATAATTATCCAATTGTTTAGAATAAACTTCCAGAAGTTATCTCTCCATATTTTAAAGCAGCATAGTTTTATGTTCATAATTATCTCTTGGAAAATGCTTTTTTCCAATAAAAATCCGTACAATATGGAAGTTGCAGTTGTTTAAAACAAAAGATTGAATTAGGGGGCCCTGGTGGATGGATGTCACATTGACACATGTCGATGCTCTTTGTTGGTGGTTTGCGTTGTGCGATGTTGCCCTCTGGCGGTGACTTTACGACAATACCGCCCTACAGGACTATATACTGCACATATGCCCTGATTTTTTTTTTGCTATAAATTAAAGTCATGTTCAGGAAATCCGGACCAACTAACATCCATTTAACTCAAAAGACTGAATAACGGCCAATTACTTTTTTAAAAAAATGTTCAAACAAATAATTGAATATTTATTTAACAAATATTGCAAACTGCCTATGTGTATGCGAGCATAAAATCATCATATTTATTTCAACAGGAGCAGGAGTTGGCAGCATGCAGCTCCAGACTCGCATGCGGTTTTTTAAGGGATTGCTTCGCGACTTTATTTATATATTAAGGACCCACCGTCTCGTATTCACACGCATTGTGACAAATTTAGTTTTTTTTACCGACACGAAAATAACATTTTGCTTATTTTGGAGGAATGAGAGCACACGTGCCGGCTGGAATTGTTGCACAAGATATGAACAATTAAGGCTTGTGTGTGATGCGTTATATTAAATATACAGCAAATTGATCAAATGTCCTTTCACTATCGTGAGTCAATGTTATCTCTGCAGGCGTTATCATATAGGGATGCTGATAATGGAACAATTAAGTGCGTGATAGCCACCGCCTGTATCGGTAGAAGATAACACAAAGATTTCTACGAACATAAACTGATACACTTGATACCCCCCCCCCCCCCAACAACGAGGGTTGTCCCATAGTTTATTTACACAGTAAGTTAACTAAACGTTGAATTCACAATTATCACTTCACTCAATGCATAGGTATGTACACACATTCCGCAAGTGTTTGAACAATTAAATAATTTACAATTGCATAATTCTGCAGGTAAATAAAGCCCCACACTTCTCGCGACAATGTGCTACGCTACACACACAGCATGGACACACATAGACACAAAGACAAAGATCCCCCGTGTAGCCCGTAACAGACTGTTAGGGCAAGTGCTGTTAGCGAGCGCATATTAAGGCCAGAACGGCACAAAACCAACGCCCGGCCGCCTTTGTCTCCCCGGTGGTGATGTTCACAAACCAAACCAGGAAGTGATTTGAGGCTGAGTCTACCTAGGTCGCCAGGTTCGTAGCTCAGCGCGTTAACCGCTCTACTACATACATACACACAAACTCACCAACGGGGTTGAGTACAAGTTGATCTACTTTGTGACTCCTTCCGGCAGAAGGTAGAAGGTCACGAGCAGCGCCATCACCTCCAGACCCACCATGACCCAGACGTCAAGCCAGAATGGGACCTTACCGCCCAGGGCCTCCATTGTGTGTCTTTGTGTATCTGGCGTTTGTGTTCAGTGTGTGTGTTGCACCCCTCTTGTGTATCTCTCTCTGTGTATGTGTCAGTGTACGTGTCCGTATCCGTGTGTGTGTGCGAAAGTAGAACAATAAAAAAAACACAATTTACTGTGACACCTACGGCTCGCGCACAGCTATTCACCTGGCCAAATAGGTGAGGCACTTCCTACCGTTTTGCTCAGGTCAGAAGCTCTCACCTGTGATTGCCTGGCTTCTGTTCCCGCCCCCTGTGGCGTCAATACCTGCAATGCTGTTGTTACCTGCTGAGTCTTCCTCTGGTGTGGGCTTGGCTAGCCAAGGCTTGCTACGTGATGCTTTTCACGTCCTACCTGCCCTGCCAGGTGTGTCACGCTTGGCAGGCTGCTGGCCATAATTTTTTCTTTTTCACTGCACAGTAATATATTTCATCACTGTGAACACTTTCCATCCGCCCAATAACGCCTACCTTTGGTGCTCTTTAATGAAACATTAAGTGAACAGGTTTCTGCTCAGTGGACAAATTAATTGATGAAAGGCGAGTTATATTAGTGGCACAGAAGCAATATTTTCGAATTTTATCCATGTGCGATTTATGTCAAAGATGGGAATGTGCGCCAATTGAAACCTTTCTTGGAAGACTGCATCGATTTTGACTGGGTAAAATGCACTTTTCATTGTCAAAAAAACAAGGTATTATGGCGTGGGATATTCATCGGTATTTTCCAGGTCATCACTCAAATGTCCTTGACAGCTAATTCCTAAGAGTGTTGACCCTTACCCCGTATAACTTCTGTGAGTCTCGTGCTATAACTTTGATCAATGGAGGGCCATTTAAAATACATATGCTCCTCTCCTTAATATAAGCAGTTGTGTTCCACAACAACCAACCGCATAGTTTACTAGTAAATTGGTGAAATGTCTGGTTCAATATATATAGTCAGATGTAGTGCTTACACATACCTTGCCTGTATATGGAGGGAGGGGGCACATTGGCAGTTGGCGTCGTCACACAGTGATGTTTAGTGTTCTGTTTACACGGCAAAAGCTGTATAAGGCTGAGCTTTAAGCACAGCGGGCTGGCAAAAAACATTATTGTATCCAGAGCCGAGGATATGTTTGGAGTGTTGGGAATTGCAGGAAGAGGAACCTCCCGATGTCGTGCGAGACATGGGGGTTATTTGACGGTATTTCACTACGCTGGTCAGTCCAGGTCAAGTGAAGGCATGGATCATAGACATGGGGCCATAGACGTATTGGACGTTGCTTCACTGCTTGCCATCTGCTGTCCACCAAGCAGCCCGAGAATTACATTTACCATGCTTATTTTAATCCATTCTACCCCTGGAAAAATACACTTTTAATCTAAATAGGTTCAGAGTTGGTTATGAAGGTCACATCATTGAAAGCAATTACACTATTCTAAATTTGAAGCTTTCGTGACTGCAAGGATTCATACTCTTAGGTTTTTCGGTAAAGTCACGTAGGTAAAAAATAAATAATAAAAATATAATTGAAATAATAATAGAAATAACAATAAATCACGACGTTTCGGAGACAACATGACAGAAACTTGTGTTGCCTCCGAAACGTCGTGATTTATTATTTTATTTTATTTAAATTATATGCTTATTATTTATTTTTTACCTACGTGACTTTACCGAAAAACCTAAGAGTATCAACTACACTATGTTAATTTCACTAGCATCGTCTGATCTGAGTTAAGTGTTATTATAGCTGTTCTGTCACTGCAATCCACACTGGAATGCACTCAATAAACTCGTAAAATTAATTGAATTGGACTGTATTATCATTTATGATCATTCAGTAGTCGACATACAAGTATAGTGTAATAGCGGCGACTGCTGTTCAGCAGCGGCAACTGCGGTGGACGAAACATTACACACGCGGTGAGCGTATACACGGGTGTGTCGGCAGGGTGGAGGAACTGGGGCAAGGGTCATGGAAGACCCCATCTGGAAGCCACTGGAACCTGCTAGTGGGTTCGAGAAGGGAGGGAGCATAAAAGGAGTTGAGAGCGGGAGCTAAGGGCTGCCGGTTCTGGAAGTGAACTCTTCCCGTTGTCGCTGCCGTCTTCACGAGATATTGCGCGACCGGATAGTTCGTTGGCTGTGTCGGTCATCGCCATCGGTGTTGCACGGTCAGGGTTGTGTTTAGGCCAGGCTAGACTAGGGAGAGTGCGGACCTGTGAAGTGTGAAGGTGTTAATACAGAAGGTGCCTCCTGGAAACCATTGTCTCCGAATCACTGACACTACACAAGTACAATATTGTTCATATTGCGACAACACCAGCAACTTCAATCACATATGTCAAACAAACCCCGTTTAAAATGCGTACTGATGCATAATTTATTGAGGGTACAGAAAATAAAAATTCATTGATTGATGTTCGAAAGTGCATTGTGTTATGTTGAACCAATTATCAGCCCAACAGGTGTGGTGGTAATTGAGTTGTCCAGGCCAAAATATACTTGTGGTCAAACAGGTTTTCGTCACTCTTGAATCAATCTCCTTAGTTATTTTGAAGCAGATATCAGAACTATTGGAGGTGTAAGTAAATTGGAAGGGATACATTTCAATAATCATTTGCGATTTTTTTTTGTTACACCACAAATTTTTTTTTTCAGAACCATTCCGACCTGAACCGAAATAAGGTTTCTTTAAAAAAAGTGATTCAATATGGATACAATTCCACCAAAACGAGTTTTCCACAACCACACACAGGAATTACATGAAATAAAATGAACGAAACCATCTCAAAGCCTCACGTAGCAAACAAAGCCCGACAAATTCGAGTTGCATCATCACTCATGCGCCCGGTATGTTTATTTAAACAATCCCCAGTTAAGAAGGGAAAAACCGACAGAGTAAACATGGAACGTTGGGCAAATGTGTTGGCCCATCGTTGGCATGTTGGCCCAACGCTTGATTATTTACTAGCAACACACCACCGCCTAGGGACGCATTTACCCTCACAACCACCCATACACAACAATAATAATCACAACAACAATAGCTTCAACATTATATTCAGTGCCATCCTAATAACTGAGAGTTTATGCCTATGGGAGGTGCTTTCCATCTTTCGCAATATTCAGCGTCTCGCTTGGAAAGTCCCGACCATGTTGCTCACACTTCCTGTTTTGCAAAGATCACCATCATACAGCAGCGTTGTTCACTAATTTTCAGATGGGGGGCATTTGAAAGCATTGTGGGTTTGACGGCATGATGCTTGGGGTGGTGTTTTCACGTGTTGTGTATTGTTGGGGGGCCGCCAATGGCACGCGAGCCTTGCAATGAAGAACACTGTCATACAAAGTGCATCTCCAGCTGTTGGGACATGTCACGCGGAATTGTCGCCGCCTTCCTCCTCATCTTGACTTCTTAGAAGTGTTCACGCTCCTAATTAGCCATTCTCTCTCAGCACATCTCACGCGAGTCGTGTAATCTCTCACCCGAGTTAAAAAGTACTCGTGGCCCAAAATAATCGGTGATGCTTACAGCAAAGCCCACCAACAACACCGAGGCTTCAACTCATGTACGAGGGTGGGGGGGGGGCAGCCTCCATTCCCACCCCCCCGCCCTCTTCCCGCCCCGTGTCGATGTCCCCAATTATACTTGCTACCAGAGCAAGTGGGGCATGAGTTAGAATCCCCCCTCATTGCCCCCCCCCCCCTCATACTGTCTGCTGCCCTCCCCACCATGCTGGATGCTGTCCCCCCCACCACCCCCCACCTCACTCCTGCCCCCCCCACCTCATCCTCCACCCTGGCTCCTGCCACCCCACACCACCTCACCCCCCACCACCCCCCACCTCACTCCTGCCCCCCCCCCCCACCTCACCCCCACTTCACCCTCCACCCTGGCTGCTGCCCCCCCACCTCACCCCCCACCACCCCCCACCTCACCCCCACCTCACTCCTGCCCCCCCACCTCACCCCCCACCACCCCCACAATCTCACTCCTGCCCCCCCACCTCACCCCCACCTCACCCTCCACCCTGGCTCCTGACCCCCCACCTCACCCCCCACCACCCCCCACCTCACTCCTGCCCCCCCCACCTCACCCCCACTTCACCCTCCACCCTGGCTGCTGCCCCCCCACCTCACCCCCCACCACCCCCCACCTCACCCCCACCTCACCCCCACCTCACTCCTGCCCCCCCACCTCACCCCCCACCACCCCCACAATCTCACTCCTGCCCCCCCACCTCACCCCCACCTCCCCACCTCACCCCCACCTCACCCTCCACCCTGGCTCCTGACCCCCCACCTCACCCCCCACCTCACCCCCCACCACCCCCCACCTCACTCCTGCCCCCCCCCCACCTCATCCTCCACCCTGGCTCCTGCCCCCCCCCCCCACCTCACCCCCCACCACCCCCCACCTCACTCCTGCCCCCCCACCTGACCCTCCACCCTGGCTCCTGCCCCCCCCCACCTCACCCCCACCTCACCCCCCACCACCCCCCACCACCTCACTCCTGCCACCCCACCTCACCTCACCCCCACCTCACCCCCCACCACCCCCCACCACCTCACTCCTGACCCCCCACCTCACTCCTGCCCCCCCACCCCCACCTCACCCTCCACCCCGGCTGCTGTTGCTGCTGCTACTGCCCGGGCTGCACCCAGCAACCCCCACCCACCCACCCCAGCACGCTGTTGACGCGTGCTAACTTCCTCGCGATTGGTCGCCGCCGCGAGTGCGGTGGGGGCCAATCGGGGTGGAGGTGCGCGCGGGGGGGGGGGGGCCCTCGTGCGGGGCACGTGGACAACCGCCCTTTAAATGCCCCCACGCGCCGCCTCGCGCCGTCACAGCTGGTAGCCCACGCACGTGGCACGAGTGGCACCAGTGGCATCCTCAGCACCGTCGTCGGCGTCGCACAAAAGCGAACTGGATTGCCCCCTCCGCGACGATTCTCCGAGAGATTTCATCCGTTTGCCTGCCTGCCCTGCTGCTGCCCGTTGCTTCATTCGCTGCCCCTGTCAGCCGCTTATCAGCAGCAGCTGCAAAAGAAAGCCACGTTGTTGTTTTAACTTTTGGCTACTTGATAGTCGTTGCCAATTAAACGCGTGGTGTATACTTACGAGGATAATATTGTACGTACACACGGTAAGCTTGGCTGCGATAGGGCAATAGGCTGTTCTGTTCTGTTTGCTTTGGTCGAAGAGATAAAGGCAAGTTT